TGCTGAGGAAATACAACAACTTTGCGCTGTGGATCGCCGGATCGGCTTTCACCGTAGATGAAGCGGAGTCCAGCCCGGGGTCGTCACATGTGGTTGCCGCTCCTTCGTCGAATCCGCCGTCCTCCACTCATATGCAGAGTTTTTCATGCCTTTCCTAAGGCTAAGCAGGAGAAGGAGAAGGAGCAGTCTACCCTTCTGTCGCCATCAGTCCGTGTAGATTTTTGAATGGGATTGATAGGGACGGCAGACGACAGACCGGCGGCGACGTCATGGTAGGAACTATACCTGACGGCGACGTGGCTACGGCGTATGTGAGAAATGTATTAAAATTATGTACGTCTGAACTAGGCACGTCGCCTCACAAGACGCCTAATATATACGTCGTATCAATGTACGTCGCATCACAAGACGCCTGATATATACGTCGTATCAATGTACGTCGCATCACAAGACGCCTGATATATACGTCGTATCAATGTACGTCGCATCACAAGACGCCTGATATATACGTCGTATCAATGTACGTCGCATCACAAGACGCCTGATATATACGTCGTATCAATGTACGTCGCATCACAAGACGCCTGATATATATAGAGACTGCAAGACCTGAAGTGGGTGTATGTCAGATAAGCGAGAGATACAAAATGTCCAGACTCCAAAACATAAAATGGGAACATGGTTGGGAACCCCTGCTGCACTACAGCAGTGGGTGGTCTTCATAGTAAACTTTTGTAACCCACAGTAAAATATGGTTTAAATGAGTATAGCTGTATGAATTTCTGATGCTCAGGAGGAGAATTAGAATTAGAATTAGAAAATTCTAAACAGGGGTTGTCAGCTCTGGTCCTCAAAGTCCACTTGGTCCAACCCTAATCAGTTGAGAACCCCTTATTTTAGAATTTGATGTTCTCCTCCTGAGCATCAGAAATTTATACATCTATTATAATTGTATTTTTTGTTTTATAACCCCTGCTCTAAACCATCAGCCATTTCAACAGAGGAATGAAGGCTGTGATGTTAACGTTGCCCACAAGAGGGAGCCATAGGATAAGGAATAGGGATTGATAGGGACGGCAGACGACAGACCGGCGGCGACGTCACGGTAGGAACTATACCTGACGGTGACGTGGCTACCGCATATGTGAGAAATGTATAACAATTATTTACGTCTGAAGTAGGCACATCGCCTTACAAGATGCCTGATACATACGTCGTCTTCATGTACATTGTCTCACAAGACGCCTGATACATACGTCGTCTCAGTGTACGTCGCCTTAAGATGCCTGATACAAAGCCTATGTTGTCCCCATGTATGTCGTTTTTAAAACCATTTAAATATTTGCAGTAGATGTAGGCTATTGCTTTCACTGTAATTAGTTAACTTATTCCCACAGAGGAATGAAGGCTGTGATGTTAACGTTGCCCACAAGAGGGAGCCATAGGATAAGGAATCGTTTAAGCCTAATGTTATTACTTTGGTTTCTATCCCTTTGAATGGAAATAAATGCATTGATTGATCCAATTTATTTGTGTAACTATTGTGTACTGACAGTATAGTTTTATATAATTAATTTACTTATACATTTGGGAAATGTGAATTGCCAATAAGTGATGGTGGAAAAATATTTACATCATCATTTGTGGTTCAGCTGCTAGAGCAGACTAAAATATCCAAAGCTATTTTTTAAATATCAAATAATGTTTAATGTTAATAACATTTTATTGACATAATTTATGCATTTTAAGTGACTGTTGTTGCTAGCTGCTATGATGAGATGTGTTAACTTACCTGCATTCATCCATATTTTTTTTACTTTTTAAAGTTATTTATTATTTCAATCATGACAACTCTCGGAACATTTTAGCATGGTGATGGATATGACAATGTTAATGGATTTGGTCTTGGCGGAACAGATCATAGCAGATCTATACAGGTGGAGCTGGGGAAGGTGGAGGGTTTCAGAGAAACTCTGAAAGCGCGCTACAGGAATCTCAAGTGAATGCTAGCCAGCCATATAAATGCAAGGTAGTGAGCTCATTGGCTGCATATGTAGCATGAACCAATCAGCTTGTGCCAAGTCGTTTAACTCTCTGAATATCATCAGTTACGTTAACACCCCGTCAGAATGCGCCATCTAGAGTTTCATGACTGAACTATATATTTCAGTCATGACAACTCTCTGAACATTTTAGCATGGTGATGAATATGACAATGTTAATGCATTTGGTCTTGGTGGAACAGATCTGCTATGCTGCTGCTGAATTGCTGCTGCTGTTGGTTATTGCTGTAGTTGTAGATTATTGCTGCTGCTGCAAGCAAGTACAGGAACTTGCTACTGCCAATGCATATGGCGATACGG